GGATTTCTCACACATTATCTCCAACCCTTCCAGCAACGCCAAAGTTTGATATCAGCTTTCTTTTACAGAAGAGAAAACTAAGGCTCAGAGGAGTGAAACCATTGTCCTAAGGACACAAGGACAGGAAGACACAGAGCCAGGATATCTGCCTGAACTGCAGCTCTCCCCTCCACCCCAGGTGCTGTTTGGGCCTCAAGGACACATTGCAGACTGAATAGCTCTTGGGGCAGAAAGTCTTCCCTGAGAGTTTATTTTCCCTACTTGCAGCCTCCAAGATATATGTCTGTGCAGGTGGGTGGAGGCAATGGTGGGACGCAAATCCCACATCTCTTTGAGGACTGAAGTTGAAGAGGTCCTTTGAGATGTCTGTCGACTGAAGAAAATTTGCACAGCCTAAAATTTGTGAGTTAAGTTTTATCCGGGGATCTTCCTGAGGACTGTAGCCTGGGAGTCAGCCTCTCAGGAACTGCTCCGAAGAGGTAAAAGCTCTGGTCCAAAACGACAGCTCCTACCACTCTGTGACTCTCTCAGAACTTGCCACTGGCAGAGAGAAATTTCTTCCCTGCAGAAATTTTATTTCAAATGCATCTAGTTTAAGTCTGTGGAAGGCCTTATTTAGCATCATATGATGTCCCTAGAAGCTGCTTTAAAAATGCTGGTTAACAGAATGCTTAATATACGCTTTTTAAATTAAAATAAAACAAAAATGAGATTAGCCCTCTGAATTGTCGTTCTTCTCTGTTTAATGTAAAAGCACCAGGCCAAAAGAGAAGACTCCTTAAGAACAAGCTCAGTCCTCAGACTCAGATCCTGATGGCACCTCTGAAGGCAAGAAGCCGTTAGACCCCAGGCCCTGTGCTATGACCTAGCAGTGCATGGTCTAATTTGGGGGGAAGGGAGGGAAATAAAACATTCAAATTTTTATTCCATCGAATGATGAGAGAATAATGCTAGTTTTGAGCTCAGACAATTTTTGGTCATGATGGATGTATTTAGAGTTGATTTTGGTGATTTCTGCAATGTCAATGGCATTTTCACCAACACTGTGAACGTCTCTTCTCCTGGCTTAAACATCCTTAGTTTCTTCAGTAATTATTCTGATAGTTTCTAGAATTTTCCCTCTGGTCAGCCCTCCTCCACATCCCCACCAAGCTTGTTGGTCTCATCTAGAACGTATGTAGTGAGGCAACATTTTTCTTGAAATACTGTGTCTGGATTAACATAATACTCCATGTGTCATCTAGCATGGCTAGCCCACATTCTAATAGTACAATATATACATGTAATCAGGACAGTATCACTGAGAGAGTCCAAAGTTGAATTGTCCACCCTCCCACCATCTGACACATCACACTATTGATTGTCTGCTAAATCTATTGTCGGCTACAGCCTTGGGAGTAACTTCCAAGACAATCTCAGCTCTCTTTATTCTCAACTTTTAGAACTTTCTTTTCTTTTTTCTACTTATTTAGATATAGAACTTTACATCTATTTTATTTCAAATGCATCTAGTTTAAGTCTGTGGAAGGCCTTATTTAGCATCATATGATGTCCCTAGAAGGCGCTTTAAAAATGCCGGTTAACAGAATGCTTAATATATGCTTTTTAAATTAAAAAAACAAAAAAAACAAAAACGAAATATGTCTCTGCAGAAAGGGGAAGTTTCAGCAGTCTGCAGTCATCCGTCACTTTTTCAGGCTCATGATGAAGGTACCATGGAAAATTTGCCTAGAATTTACATTTCAGTATCCTTATAGCAGCAAAGCTGAAAAATACTTAAAAGTTTTGACTGTTTTCCGGAAATTCCTGTGCAAATTTCCCAGTTCCATTGATTTCATTTGGCATTACAGACCTAAGGTCCTTAGAGTAAGAGCATCTTACTATCATGACAGGCATTTTCGTACACTTGCAGAAGCTCAGATATGGAGATGGGAGCCTTGGTACATAACACATCTTTGTCATCATGGGCTAGAAGGGGGATGTCTGCCATGTTAATCTTCTTGATGGAATCTCTTAATCTCAGTTTTCTCATCAGATAAAAATACATGTGAAAAATGAACTGCAACAGAAGAAAATGAGAGGGCTTCCCTGGAGGCGCAGTGGTTGAGAGTCCGCCTGCCGATGCAGGGGACACGGGTTCGTGCCCCGGTCCGAGAAGATCCCACATGCCACGGAGCGGCTGGGCCCGGGAGCCATGGCCGCTGAGCCTGCGCACCTGGAGCCTGTGCTCCGCAACGGGAGAGGCCACAATAGTGAGAGGCCCGCGTACCACAAAAAAAAAAAAAAAAAAGAAAATGAGAAATGGTAATTTCAGGTAGATCCCAACCCCGACTGTGATGCTGGAAGATATTTTAGAAGAATATGGCAATTGTCCTCCTACTTACTGAAAGTCCACCATTATATCATCAAGAAGAGGCTCTACTCTACATGAGCAACTCTTAATTCATTTGAGGTCATGGACCTCCTTGAAAATTTGATGAAAGCTATGAATTCTCTCTCCTCCCCCAATAAATGTACACACACTGCATACATACATATTTCTTTTACAGACGATTTTAGGGGTTTCCATACCTTCCAATGTCTGTGCCTAAAGCAGTGCATTAAGAAAAATTGTGAGGACATATTGGGTTTAGAAGAAAAAAAATGCCCTTTTTGAATAGTGATGGCTTCCCTAAGAGCATGAGAAATGGGTAGTGGCATCCATTGAAGCTACCACTCCCAATTTTTCAAATCCTTCTTTTTCCAAATAATTTATTCTACCTATGTTGCTGTTTTTTACTGAAGTATACTTGAGTTACAATATTGTGTTAGTTTCAGGTGTACAGATCCTCTGGACACCTGATTCTTTTCCCTTATAGGTTATTACAAGATACTGAATATAGTTCTCTGTGCTATATAGTAGGTCCTTGTTGTTTATCTATTTTATGTACAGTAGTGTGTATCTGTTAATCCCAAGCTCCTAATTTATCCCTCCCTCCTCCTTTCCCCTTTGGTAACCATAAGTTTGTTTTCTACATCTATGAGCCTTTTTCTGTTTTGTAAATAAGTTCATTTGTATCATTTTTTTTAGATTCCACATATAAGTGATATCATATGATACTTGTCTTTCTCTGTCTAACTTACTTCACTTTGTATGACAATCTCTAGGTCCATTCATGTTGCTGCAAATGGCATTATTTCATTCTTTTTAATGGCTGAGTAATATTACATCATATATATATATATATATATATATATATATATATATATATATATATATATATAATATATATATATATACTCTATATATATATGCTATATGTATATATACCATGTCTTCTTTATCCATTCATCTGTCAATGGACATTTAGGTTGCTTCCATGTCTTGGCTACTGTAAATAGTGCTGCTGTGAACATTGGGGTGCATGTATCTTTTAGAATTATAGTTTTCACTTTTTTTGGCTATGTGCCCAGGAGTGGGATTGCTGGATCATATGTTAACTCTACCTATGTTATTCTATGTTATTTCTCAATTGTCTGTCTCCCCTAGAACATAAATTCCACAAGAGAGCAGAGATTTTGAGATTGTCTGTTGTCTACTGCTGTATCTAGATACCTTGTATTTATAAACAGTGTATCTAGATGCTGTGTCTAGAACAATACCTGGAGGAATTATGTGCTCAAAAAATATTATTGAAAGAAGAAATAAGTCCCTTCTTGAGAGCTCTGAGCTACAAACTTTACTAACTTCTGTGTAAATTAATATTCGCTTTTATTTATAATACGGTCAGATACTTTGTTTCAAAGGCTGTGTTCTATCTACATCATTTTGAAATTTATAGTCTAAATCTGTATTTGGTTTTCCTCACTTTTATTAATTTTAATTCTATACTGTTTTCCTTTTCATATTTTTCTAGATTAATCCCTTTTCTCCCATCAAATGACCACCACCTCCTTACTTATTTCAGTTCCATTGACTAAGGATAAGATCTAGCTGGTGGCATCAATTTACTAAATGAAGTGAATGAAATGCACTACATTTATATGACTACAAAATAAATGTCAGTTTCTCACAAATGTCAGTTTGCATAATTAGTCAGCTCTTAACATATTGGAACAATGTAAATACTGAATTTTCAGATATTAATATAAATAAGCATTTATTATTGGCAGCAACAATGGAAATGTCTAGGGAAAATGTGGCTTGGGTGCTTTAAAAACTGTTTGTTCCCTCAAATGATTTAAATATGGCCTCTGCAACTTGTTCCCATTTAAATTACTTCACAAGCCATCTCCTCAAATAAGGTACAAAGTCAGTTTTAGCACTTGTTAAATTATAACAAGCTCTCAGTTAGAAGACTATGAATTAATGAAGTTTTATTTTGTAATCTGCATTCCTAGGTTTAATCAAAACAGTGCTTTGGCTTCTTTTAATTTAAAAGAAAAATTAGTGAAAACTACAATAAATAACATTTGATGGTTTGTGCTGGAATACACGCTACATCTTGAAATTATGACCGACAAAACTCTAAAGCTCAGTTTGAGGACAAATGTTAAGATTTAGGGCTAAATACATGTAGTTAAAATTCATAATTTCTTAGCACCCTGCATTCACTGCCAGCTAACTTTCAAAATATCTGGCTGATAAGGAAGCTGGCAGAGACCCCAAAGGAACAGAAGTTAGTTAGATACAAAGTAAGGTCTATGGGAATTTTCTGCTACTGGTTTTAGATTACTTGCCTCAGAAGCGTATGCACTGAAATGACTTGATTTTTAGACATATCCACACAATTATTCATAGGACGCACAGTTATAAGCTCCAGACCCTTGTCTGAACACTCAGGTATATCCGTGTTCACATGGGTGGCCATGCTCTCACATGTGCCATGAATTGTCAGGAATGCTGTTCAGAGTTGGCTGATCAAGAGATACACAGCGCAAAGGAACAGGATTTGAGACAGCCCAGGGTTTCCTCTTCAAGTAGGTTTAAAACTTTTTTTTTTTTTTTCTCACAACTTCCTTCCTGTTCTAACTGCCAGTGCTCAGAAGTCAGCCTTGAGAGACAGAGGCACCCAGGACGGAGACGTGAACCCCTGAATGTAAGTTGAAATACCTTCAGGGTAGGGGAGGCTACAGGTGAGCACAGACAAATGAAGGAATCTCTACACCAGACTACAGTCCTCTACGGTTTATTTTTTTTGAGAGCGGCTGTGCCTCTTTAAAACAAACTTTATGAAAAGAAAGTACCTAAGGAGGCTGCAGAGAAGGGGAAGTCAGAGCGGGACAGCGGGAGTGGCAGCAGTGACTCAGGGGAGGCACCTCGGTGAGGGAGGGTGAGCGCTGCAGCCCAGGAGATAAATTCTGGATGTCCTGGAAAACGGCTCTGAGTGTACCCACTGGGCGTGCCTGGCCAGGTTCCTACAAGGTTAGAGCCGGCATCTGGCCAAGCTCAGAAGCAAAAAGACTGCAGATCCAAACTGATACAAAACGTGTTGGTGGATGGTGGGTTTCTGCTGGGGCGGAGATGTGTGGTTTCCTGTTTATAGGCAGACTTTAAAGAGACTGGTTGAAAAGAAAAAAAAAATGGTTCAAAGTTGTCAAATATTAAGCTCTTTTCCACTGAAGAATTTTCTGGGCATATAAGAGAAATGCATAATGAAAGCGTCCCCTAGGGTACAGTGGGATTTAATTATCCAAGGGGGAGCATGGCTATTTACTCATCACTCTACAAGGATAGCATTTCTACCATTAGCAAAAGCCAGCGAGATGGGCAAAAAGATAAGTGCTGTCGTTGCCAAAGACCAGCTCTTTACCTCTGAGAGAACTAAAAGCAAACACAGAAGACACCTAACAATTTATTAAGAGATACATTCTAGAAAAATCCAAGTGGGCTCAGATAGGACCCCCAGTCAGTGGGCCTTCAAAATGTCAGGGTCTGAATTTGGCAGCCATGAGAAGTGCTTTAGGTGTGACCGGAAATACTTTCTTCCTTTTTAGAGGATGTCCTAGACAGCATGTTTTAGAAAGTGGTCTGTAATTAAACTCTGGACCTAGGGTTACTTGTGGCATGGGTCTGATAAACTCTGAGCTGCTCTGCTCAGGGTCGGGGAACGCAGATTGCCCCTACATGGAGGTCCCATAGTCACCCCTTCACATAGAGACCGAGAACCACTGAATTCAGGGTTAGCATGTTGGAGCCTCAGTGCAGGAATGATTAAGCAAAGGAAATCAAGCAGTCTGTGCTGGCCCCAGAGAGTTCAGTCATAGGCAACCAACGTACACCTTCGCCATTGCTTTGTTTCATTACATTTATAAGGAAAGATCCCTCCCAAATCCAGATATGACACAGGCATAGTAAGATCATCTTATTATTTCCTGAGATGTGTGGACTTCTGAGAGAATAGTTCATTCCCCATCCATACCGCACAGATCCAGCACACGTGGAATAACCAGGTTTTAGCCGAACAAAGGCTGGCATTGGAATTTGGTCCTTATTTGGGAGACCGTGAGTTTGTCCCTCAGGAAGTATCCTCTGAGCAATGTCAAGGTTCTGTTTTCAGTGCAAGCTCAGAACAGCGGAGTCAATCTGATGGAAAGATGAGCACCCCGAGCAATTCATGGGAGCACAATAAATTCCAAACTTCAGCTGGCAGGAAGAGAGATGCGTTAGGGGGAGTAAAAATTAAGCAGATAGAGAAAGAGAAACAACTTATGTGGAGGGCCTTCTTTGGGTCAGGTCTGGTATGAGAAATTTATAAATCTGAATTCTGAGAGGACACAGTGAGGACAGGAAGGCTCAGAAGTGTTCAGTGACTTGGCTAAAGTCACACACTGGTGCAAAAAAGAACCAGTAGCTACAATGCCTCAGAGGGGCATTTTAGGAAATGCCCATGGAAGAAATATTCTTTAATCCCAAATTCTGAGCATCCTTGTTCCTGGGTCAGTGTTACTGTCACCCAGGATCTTGGGTTAGAGTCCATACTGGCACCCCCAGAGATGGGTCTCATGTTACTCCTGAAACTTCAACATTTATCCATTCAATGAAGAATCACTGAGTCCCTCCCTGCTGGTTTGCACACACTCTGGTTTCCACAGCCAGAGCTTGTAAAAATTCACTTGGGTTTTCTTAGAGGGGCTGATATTCACCATTTGTGCTTATAAAAATTGTCTCTACTTCTGTCTAACTTTTCGTGCTTAATTTAAAACCTCTGTGAATGGATCGAGTAATTGCAGGGTAGTCTTTTGCCCAGTAATGGCTGCCTTAATGCAGTTTTCTTTGAGGATTATTTAAAATGAATGTTTGTGGAAGTGGAGTGACTTCACACAGTAGAGGCTCAGGAAAGTTGAATGCGTCCGCTGAGTTCTCTCTCCTTTTGCATATGAATCTGGGTGTCCACGGGGCACTGGTCCTAGGACCACCCCCCTTCTTCCTTGATACTAAAATCCATGGATGCTCTGAGTCCCGTGCCCTCAGTATCAGCAGAAGACCAACTGTACTATGAATGTCCGGGAAGGAATGATGTATTATTTCTTAGGAAGTAATTATTTCAAGGGAAATGCTAAAGAATTCTGCTTCTAGGAATCTGTACCCTCCTCTGATTGATCTTAATATTTATTGTATGTAACAAGACACTGTCCTCTCAGGCATGGGGTTGGTTCCTCTTATCCAGCGCGGCAGTTTCAGATGTTCTTGGTGGGGCAGAGGTGGGAAAGAGCAGCTCTGAGAAGCCCTGGAAGCACCAATTCCTCTAGGTCACTTGGGAATAGTGACACACCAGAAAGGAATCCAGAACCAAGCCAGCTGCTGGAGTCCGGAAGGATAAAGTTGGATTTCCCAAATGAGCCAAATTACCACGTAGACAGCAAAGCAGACCCAAATCCTCCTCAACTAGCTCTGAGATGGTCCAGCTCTCCACGACCTGCTGTAAAACCACAGCCCCAGATTTGGGGAAAGTGGGCATATCCTGGACATTGGGAAACGAAGATGACAGGGAAAGCTGATGCTCACATAGGTACTTCTTGGATGGAAATCCCCTACTTCTGTTACTTCCACATTTCTCTCTCTCTCTCCCTCCACTTTACTCTTTTATCTAATACTCCCAGCCTGTGCATCTAGAAGCAAGATCTGGCAACTTTGGGGCATGAGTTAAGTCTCCACTGTACTTTGCTCCAGAGCCAGAGGGAATTCTCTCCATTAGCTGTGCCTGTCTCCTGTCATTTCCCATCATTCACAGAGTGACCCTTGGCTTCACTTATGAAAGGGAGCAATAAATAGAATCTGAAATTAAATTGCTTTTTAAAGAAATATAATAGTGACAGTCCCATTTTATGGCTGACTCAGTTCATAAACAATCCTTGCAATTCCCAGAACTTCTTGTCTCTTTCAAAATCTATTTTTAAGAAGGAAGGAGATGAGCTTGTCAACACTGCAGGTCCAAAAGAAAGCACTGGTGTCTGGCGGTCAGTTACCTTTGCTGAAGCTGAAACTGTAGCAAAACAGACAGTCACCAGGAAGGGAAGAGAGAGTGTTATTGAACATCTACTATTGACCAGGACAGTCCAAGAACTTTTCATGTTTTCTCCCACTCTTCAACCCTGTAAAGAAAGATTATTATTCCCACTTTACTGGTGGAGAAACTTGGGCTCAATGAGGTTAATAACTGGCTTAAGTCCCATAAAAAGTCAATTGTGGATACACATTTTGAATTTCTGGCCCATCGGTCTCAAAGCTCAAGTTCCAGGAGACATACAGGGTCATCTTTCTATGAATTAACCAGGTGATTTGTTTCATCTAAACTCAAGAGCTTTACCTTTTCTTGCCCTCCAATTATTTAGAACTGCATTAATGAACCAGTAGAGTGTGCTCCATCCTGGAGACTGGTAAATTCTTAAGTGCATTTCACTTTCAGTGTCTTGGAAATTTCACTGAATTTGTAAGCAAAAACACCGATTCGTGCTATGTTATACTCATGCCATGAGTACCCACCCTAATTTAATCTGGCATTTTAATTGAGCCTGAGAGGATTAAGTTGCTGCCTCAGCCCATCTAAATCTTGGCACTGTTTCACTGAATACTAAACATGGGTGTGTGTGGGTTTGCTGTGAAAATTCACATGTGTAGGCATCTGTGAAGCAGGAAATAGATAACTAGAGTGGTGAGCACATAAAAAAAAAAAAGCGTATGTGCTTTGGGGCCTTATGAAATATAAAATTGATAATTCTCCATTTCACTTCTACTGTGTAAAGAACCAAAGTCAAAAACAACCTACAAAGAAACAAACAAACAAAACAACCCTGCTTTTTGTGGAACAGGGGGTAAGATGCAGAGGGAGGTGAGCAGACCCCCAACAAGAACGTTCTGTGCTGATGGGCTGGGTTCTCCCCAACCTCACCTCCACTTCCTCTTTCCTTAGGGTCATTGAATTATAAAGGGGTCTCAGAGATGTTTTAACGCAACGATTTCATTTTGCAGAGGCCAAAACTGGACCAGAGGTTCAGTGACTTGCGCAAGGGGACATGGAGCCTAGTTGCACTGAAAACCCTCTTTATGTGACACTTCCCTGACTTGCTAAAGCCGCCCTGCAGAGTTTTGCAAAGCAGCACTTACCTCTACCTGTGCACCCCCCAGGGAGATTCCCACAGTGACCAAATGAGCTCACCAGAGCTCTCCAGTTTCATTATTACTTCTTAATAAAGAAAGCTGGAGCGACAGAGTGTAGAGCCTCAGGTCAGACCACCCGGGCTCAGATATTCATTCTGCCGCTTACACAAGTCTTCTTGGGCAAGTTACTTACCTCATCTTTAGTTTCCTGATCTGTAGAAGGGAATGATGATAACGGTGGTCCTTAAGGTTGTGGTGAGGACTAAATGAGATAATCCTCACGACAGCATTTAGCACTATGTGTGATAACTGTTAGAATTATTATCATCAATTACAAAACCAGCTGTTCTTTAGATGATGAGATTAGAAAAAAGTCTGGAATTTCTATAAAATTACTATTTTCACTTCAGCAGCACCCATAAAATGGAAAAGAGAAAAATGAGGGAGTTCCCTGGTGGCCTAGTGGTTAGGATTCCGGGCTTTCACTGCCATGGTCCGGGTTCAACCCCTGGTCAGGGAACTGAGATCCTGCAAGCTGCACGGTGCGGCCAAAAAAAAAAAAAAAACAGTAAAAGTTATTTAAAAAACAAAAAGGAAAATTGTATTTGTAGTTCAATATACACACACAGGTAGTCTGGGAAACCATTGTCAAGATATATAAACCAGTTGGGGCTTTGGGAGAATCTGAAGTTCCCCAGAAATGAACTGTGAAATTGAAAATGTAGGATCTTTGGGGAATTCACATAAATTTGAAATAGTAGGGCTTCCCAGGTGGCGCAGTGGTTGACAGTCCGCCTGCCAATGCAGGAGACACGGGTTCATGCCCCGGTCTGGGAAGATCCCACGTGCCGTGGAGCGGCTGGGCCCGTGAGCCATGGCTGCTGGGCCTGCGTGTCCGGAGCCTGTGCTCCGCAATGGGAGAGGCCACAGCAGTGAGAGGCCCGCGTACCGCAAGAAAAAGAAAAAAATTTGAAATAGTAAAACAGAGGTAGGTAGTCTCTTATATACACTGGTGAAATAAGGTAATGGAATGGCAATTTAGCTGACACTTGACTACAGGTAAAGGCCTTAGAAAAGGAAAGCACCTAGAGATGTTCTGCCCTAACCCCTCACTTCCCAAGTTGAGGAAAGGAAGATCACAGCAGTTGGAACATTTGCTCACAGGGGTAAATTACATCTAGTTAGTGGCAAAGTCAGAATGAAAACTCATGCATGATGAGGCCTAGTTCAGTGAGGGAATAATTATCCAAAATCAAATAGATTGACCTAGAACTCTTCCCTAAAACTGCCCCCTGTGCACCGTTGCTCTTCTGCTGGGCTTGTGGTCAGATCAGATCCAGATGTTACATGGTATCTTCTCCTGCTTCTGAGGGCCAACGTTTCAGGTTCACAGACAGGATCCGTGGCTTGAGGCTGAGTTGTGTCATTGGTCTGGCCAGGCTTCAGAGACAAGCAAGCTTCGCCTTTAACACTCAACGCTCTGCTTCATTGTTTCCGAAAGTTACAGTTTCAAGGTCATGTTCTTAATCATGGACTTCAGTAGAATCTACAAAGGACTTCAGGAGTTCATGAACCCCTGTTCTGCATGCACAATTTCATGGGCTTTTTCCTTTTTTCCTTTTATAAGGACCATGACCCTTACCCGATTTTTAAAGAGCTTTGTAATCTCCAAAAGGATTAAGAACCATCAGTCAAACAAGCTGGGCTTTTTGATATGGCTCGATTGCTCTTCCTCCAATGTCTTCTCCACTTTGGAGAATAACTTTAAATATCAGTATGTGCTAAAGTACAGTGTCTTGTAAATACTAGATGCTCATCATATTTTTGTGACCTTAATTTTGCTTTCAAAAGTCCTTTCCCTGAGAAGTGGTTTCCAGTCCTTTATTTGCCATATTATGACATTTTCATCTTTTTTTTCCAATCAGCTCTCCAGAGTGAACTGGTTTGGGGTCATCTGACTTCATATCTCTTTTTTTTAATGCTGTATAATTAGACCAAATTATTTTCATGTAGTCCCAAATTTCCTCCTCTTGACTTCTACAATTTCATATAGTAATTCCACATTATCCTCTGATCTTCAATGCCTTTAAATAAATTTTTTGGCTCATTTTTATAGAGCAATTATTGTATCTGTAATGAATCAAGGAAATTTAAAAGTGACACAAGTCTCAGATTCACTAATGAAAAGATCAAGCTCTAGATGACAGATAAATTGACTTGTCAATGATTACACTGTGAGAAGTTAGGAAATGCTGTCCTAGACCAGATCTTTCTCTCTCTCTGTCTCTGTCTCTCTGTCTCTGTCTCTATCCCTCTCTCTCTCCTTTCAAAATTGAGATTTGAGGGTGCAGAATTACAATTCCCTAGGTTATTAAAGTCACCTTGATCTACTGTGATGTCATCATCTCATGGTCAAATTTCAAGCACATGACTTGTTAGAACCAAGCAATATATTCCAGAAAGTCCTGACTATGGGGGCTGTGATGCTTTCATCTATAGATACCTTTCCTGATGCTCTGTCTGCAGGTTTCTTATGTGACCTCTACCCTGGATATCTGGTCAGGCTCCAGAGGAGAACCTGTCTCATCTGATTAGTCTCCTCTGGGTTGCTCTTTATGTGTGGCTTAATGGTTGTCCTTAAACTACCCACAACCTGCAACCTCCACCCACTGCATCCTTCATTATTTTTCCAACCAGTTCATTCACTTTCCCTGAGTGTTTTTTGTAACATGAGTTGAGTTAGTCACTCTGTTTATTGTGATCTTCTCTAGAGGCTCAACTCTGAGTGGAGCTGGTTCTGTAGCTGAAGCAAGAGTTGCCATAGGAACAGGCCTACATGCTTCCTCCCTACACAGGAAGTGGACCTGGGCATTGCAATACTGTTTTCAGAGTTGATCCAAGAGTCACAGTGTTTGGCTTGTTATTTTGCTGGAAGAGGATTGATGAGCCAGGAGATATGATTTCTTTTCCTTCCCTTTTTTTATTCTGTTAAAACTGTTTTTGTTTGGCTTCACTTCCAAATTATTTTTCTTCCTGTTGCCAATAATAGTGACATTGAGACTCAAAACTATAACTGATTTTGGCCAGGCACAGCTTCACTCTCAGGGGACTTTATAGAGATTTGAAGAGTCACTCAGAATGAGATGTGATAGGTATTGACTTAGTGTTCTGCCACTTCCGAGCACTAAAGCCTTTACCCAAAACAGGGAAGAGAGTTACCCTCAGAGCAGAACAAAAGGAAATCAGGACATTATCTCCTTCTCCAAATATCTCCCTTGCTTCCCCCAAATAGCTCCATTGCTTCCAGCCATGCGGCCTGAAATTCTTCCAGGAGAGATTTCTTCCTCTTTATTAAGACATGGCATCTCACCCTGCTATGTGAACTTGGGCAATTCTTTTAACCTCTGGGTTTCAAGGTTCTCAATGATTAAATTAGGGTTTGGAATATATTACATCTAAGGTTCATTTCAGCTCTGAAAAGCTCTGACTATACATGCCCTAAGAGGAATAATTTTTAAATTTATTATTCATTCATCAACACTTATGTGTGAATAATTTTATTAGATCTTTCCTCAATGTTTTAACACAAAACAAGTAAATATAGATGATGATGGAAGAAGACAGACCCCAGAGTATGCCCAGGTGAGGTCTTAGAGCATAAGGTCAGTCAGGGGAAATCTCGAGAGGGTAGACAGGTACTAAAAGGGAAGTGGAAATTGAGAGAAAGTACTAAAGACACAGTTACAATTTCTCTGGAGGAATCTAGAGTCCTTTGCTATTTGGTGTCATTTCAAAAGAACAGAAGATCTTTATATGTAGAACCTATTAGGTCAATGAATAAGTGCTTATAAAATGGCTGAATTATTCCAGTGTCTTGGGAGATTCAAGAGAAACACAACACTTAGTACCTGCGCTCAAGGAATTATTAGCAGTGTTGGGTGAAAACCAATCAGACACTCAGGCAGGTATCACAGGGACCTACAACTTCTCATGAGTTACCTTTGAGCTCTTGCAGGAGGTCAGGGAAAGATTCAATGAATGGGAAAGAGCTAACTTTGTTTAGCACGTACTTGAAACCATCATAACTGGGATTGTACACACTGAGCACTTTGACACTGGCAAGGCTGGCTGGATTTGGAGGACTGTGATAATTTCTACAAATATATGAGCTAGGGCCACTTGTTATTGTCAGGGACTGCTGTGCTATGTTGTTTCACTTGTTTTACAGGATTCCCAAAGAGTTACTTATTTTCTGTCAGTTTCATTCAGTGAACAGGAGGGACTCATCCCAGTATGGTAACATTCAGGCATGTGAAAGGAAAGCCTGGAATGCATTATATTCTTATTTTGTGAAATAGAATGAGGCTGAATTAGAGGAAAATCTGGAAAATCACTGACAGTTACACAAGTTCATTAGGGCAAAAATAATGCTAAGAACAGCCCCACAAACATCGTTCATATCCACTGACTTTTGGCTCATAGACCATCCTCTCTCTCTCTCTCTCTTTCTTTCTCTCCCTCCCTCTCTCTCTAGATCAACATGACTGAAAAGGCCCCAGAACCACACCTGGAGGAGGACGAAGAGCTGGATGGCAAGCTCGGTTACAAGCCTCCACCACAGAAGTCCCTGAAGGAGCTGCAGGAGATGGACAAAGATGATGAAAGTCTAGCTAAGTACAAGAAAACGCTCCTGGGGGACGGGCCTGTGGTTGCAGGTGCGTGTGTGCCGAGATGCGGGGCAGGTGGAGGGGCATTGACAAGGCAGACATTTCAGCTACTCAGGAGCAGTTGCAAAGGAAAGTGTACCAAGTGCTTCCAGGGTTAAGTGAGTGAGGTGCAATCTCTATGTGCTGAATCAAGTTATGGACCAGATAATTAAGTTTTCTTTGGAGATAAGGTGCAAGTTGACATTGACATAGATAAAAATAACACATAGGGAGGATTTAGAAGGAATTTCAGACTACCACTCAGAATTGTATTCTCTCCACGATTGCTCACTTTCTCTCTTTTTCTTCTCTTTCTCCTTCTCACTCCTTACCTAAATAACCATCTCTTCCACATACACATACGCAATGGCAAAGTAAGACATGGCCCAAAGATATGGATGGGCCGTGACTAACCAGCAGAGTACCCATAGCCACTCAGGAAATGTCTGCTATTGATGATTGAGATGGACCTACAAGGACCTGAAGCAGAAATAGCATCACTGGAATTTATAGGGCCACTAAGACCAAGCATGGTGAATCTGCCACTTCCATTTCTATTTCTCCTCCAGATGGAGATATCCCTTTCCTTTTTTATCTTCTCTCTCTCCTACTTTAAATGCACACACACACACACACACACACTCCACACACACACAGAGTACGTAAATACCTCCTCTCTGTGCTTACATTCCCTTTTGAATCTTGCAGACCCAACAGCACCTAATGTCACTGTCACCCGTCTTACCCTGGTTTGTGAAAGTGCCCCAGGACCAATCACCATGGACCTCACTGGTAAGTGGACACACCTGTTCTGTTTAGTGGGGCCTAGTGGCATCACTGGGCAAACTGGTTTTTTGTCCTCTGTCCCAGCAAAAAAAAAGAAAAATCCAAGTAAAGTGAATTCTAGTAAGGTATGCTGAGACCAGTTCACAAATCATAGTTTTCACAGTAATTACCGTGCTTAATGAAAAGCCCAATCTCTCTCTCTAACTGAAAAGGGTTCAGGTGTAAGTACTGGATATATCTACCTGTATCATATTTACTTCAGATTTTTATCTCCACATGGTAGCAGGAGAATTACTATTTGTGTAAAAAGACTGCTGATGGAAATGTTAAGAAGCAAGCTGTACGCTTCTGAAATGGTAATATTTATACAATCTAAACATCAGAGAAAATATTGACCTTACATCAGCTACAGAACTTACCTGAAGACAGGAAGCAATCTAAGACCTCCTAAATAATGCTAGGAATTCCACTGTTAAATACACATTATTTAACTTAAAGCTCTGATTCTTTTAAAAAAGCAACTTCCCCCACTAAAGATGTACAAATTAACATGTTCTTTTCTTTCACTTTATTGTGACAAGGGTCAAGTCCTTTCCTGAGACTTAGGTCTGGAGGAAATGAGGAGAGACGGGGAAGGTGGCTGATTTGGGGAAAATTGGCAAATGGGAGAAATGAGGAAAGGGCCACTGAGCTAGGGGTTGGGGGCATGAAAGGCAGGTCTTTAGTAAAAAACAAAAAATTATTACCAGTTTCAAAAAATGGACTCATGAGACAGAATAAAGCATGACTCTAGAACAGTAGGCTTAACAGCAAGGTGGTTCCCCTCACACAGGACACATCCACTCTTTACCTTATATGGGCTTTTTGTCAGAGAGAGGAAATTGGAGGCTAAGACACACTTCCTATTCAACCGAAATCATTAGAGCATACATTCAGCTACCTCCCCGTTCTAGCATCTCTCCAAGAGAGAAACGCTCTCTCTCTCTCTCTCATCGGACCTCAGACCTCTTCCTGTGCAAAATTGCGTAAAGCTACCAGGTACAGCCATCATTTTGCAAGATAAGGTCTGAATTAGCGCTAAGGAAACCTGCTCTGTTCAGAAGGGCTTGATGATATTGCAGGGAAAACTTGGTCTCTGTCCTCTTTTCCCAGCAGAAAGAAAACCAAATTCGTTTTTCTGTCACAAAAAAGCTATGGAGGTGAATCCCAGAGGTATACATAGGATGCTGGTACCAACTCTGTACATGAAGCAGGTGCACAGAACTGTGCAAAACATACACACACACACACACACACACACACACACACACACAGTCACCCCGAATGTCAAATTATACAGGATCACGTTGGGAGAGGAGCAGAGAAAGATCACCTCTCTAATTAGGGGCAGATCTCAGTTTTATGGAGCCTGAAGCTTTTATAACTTAAGTGATGTTTCCTTTTCCTTAAGAAAAATAATATGAAATTGCAAATGCAAAAGCAAAATTAAGTGCAAAAGTGAAATTTTTTCAGAATGATAAAAAGGAACCAAATGAGTACATTTTTTAAAGCTAGAAAACACCACAAATGCTAACAAATCTACAAAAAAAAAATAGCTGGCACTCGTATAATATTTTTCTCCTATTTCTTTATTTGAGGGGTGGGGGCAGAGTCTTTAACCATAACATCTTACATATCCTTAAGGTTGCAGTCAAACTTGGGGAAAAGCTCTATCACATTTCTTTCACATCTGGCTGCAAGATTTCAGGCATTTCAAATGTGTGTTTATGCAGCAACTAGTCTCAGACATTCTTTGACTTGAGGACCATGTGGACCATGTTGCTCTGAGGAGCCCAGCAAATGGCTCTGGAGCTTCAGCTTCATTCATCTCCTTGTGAATGTCCTTCTGAGGAGAATTAACTCTTTCAAAATCCACTTCTACAGGGGATCTGGAAGCCCTCAAAAAAGAAACCTTTGTGCTAAAGGAAGGTGTTGAATATAGAGTCAAAATTAACTTCAAAGTAAGTATCTGGTTTTGTATGTTGTAATAAAGTTTAAATCCTTCCTATAATCAGAGGAAGAAAAAATCAAATTTCTTGCATTATCACGTTGGCATACTTTTTGTTTATTTCCCTTTTTTCCCTGGACTGTCCTCTCCCCAATCCTGGGCTCTACCTGTTACAGGTGCACCTTTGCTTCATGCCTTTTTCCAGCCAGGACCCTTCCTTTGGACTCTCCCTTGATTACTGAAGCCAATGGGATCCCTCTCCTGGGACCTTCTAATACTCCCATCCACAAGACACACATTACTTTGTATTATACCATTTGTATCATTTCTCCCCTATTCAGCCTAAACACCTTGAGATAGGGAGAGACTATCTATCCCTTCTTTGCAATATTTCAAGCAAAACTTTTTAAATGGTAGATATTTCATGACTATTTATTGAGAAATAGATAAATGAATGAATCAATTAATAGGAAAAGAAAATAGAAGAGCTAGAGCCTCAGCTCTAATTGCTCGAGGATATATAAATTCAGGGGGTGTGGTGCTTGGTAAATAACTGGAAATTACAACTTAGTTGTACAGCAGGTAAACAAGTAAGAGCAAAACTAAGTAGGAGATAAACTGACATAGAAGGAATAGGCCCATATCCCAGTGAGCAACCAAAATCAAGGAGAAAAGTAACCTTGACTTTGAAAACAAATGAGTTAGAAATTCACTGTTTGCATTTAATTGCTTATATGTGCTTTGGTTGCCCCTCACTCCCACTTGGTCACTTCCTCCAGGGCTTGGGCTCCACCAACAAAGGCCCCATCCGCCCTCTCTATTTGCACACCAGCCCTTCTTTCTCCAAGGTTCAGGATATGATTCAGGGTCCATGGACAATCATTCCCCACCACATACAAATATGCCTCAAAATAATTTCCTTCTGAAAATATTTGTTGATGCCTACTCTATAATAGACACTCTATAATAGTCACTTACTTGTTTCCTGTATTTATTACTAAAGCACCTGAGAGTTTAGTAAGGCATTGTATCCAAGTATGCTTCAAATGGGTTTCACATCAGTCCAATTTCGAATCATTAATGCTACTGCCTTAATTTTTCACTTTAATAAGCAGTTGAGATTGACACATATACATTAATATGTATAAGATAGATAACTAATAGGAACCTGCTGTATAAAAATAAATAAATAAAATTCAAAAAGAAAATGTTGATGTGAATAAGATGAGAAGGAAAGGTCTGGTGCATGGGCTTCTGCCATGGGTGGGAAGGCCGGGGTTGGGTCCTCGGCAGTCAGGATTACACATGAAGGCAGTGGAGGAGGTGGGCACAGAAAGCAGTTTTCAAGTCCCATCCATTTCAGAGATTTGGCCTTGTCTCTAACAGGGAAAGATCACTCTCTATGTGTAACCCACATAAAGTCAAACCTCCCTGTGGCCTGTCCCAGCGTGGATCGAGGAAGAAACACCAGTTCCAAACTGAAAATATGTAATTGGAAAGTGATTTAAATCTTTACTGATGTCTCCTGAAAAATGTCCAAGAAAGTTTGCATTCATAACACCAGCAACACACCCTAGAATCCTCTTTCATTAACTCTCTTAGTTGCTCTCAAAGTTCTTCTCTTTCTTCCTCAAAACTTAACAACACTCTCCAAAACCTGGGATGGTTCTTTTAGTTTCTTCCCCTTTTCCTTCTGCCTCCCAAGGAGATGTGGTATATGTGATTTCCATGGCTCTCACTTTTTTGTTTGTTTGTTTGTTTGGGTTTTTTTGCGGTACGCGGGCCTCTCACTGCTGTGGCCTCTCCCGTTGCGGAGCACAGGCTCCGGATGCGCAGGCTCAGCGGCCACGGCTCACGGGCCCAGCCGCTCCGCGGCATGTGGGATCTTCCCGGACAGGGGCACGAACCCGCGTCCCCTGCATCGGCAGGCGGGACTCTCAACCACTGCGCCACCAGGGAAGCCCGGCTCTCACTTTTATTCATGCTCCCAGTAAACTGTCTTTTCCTGGGGTGGAAAAGACAATTGGGAGGGATGTGCAGGCAGAGGAAGAGAATAACTAGGAATATTTATACTTTTCTTTCGTCTGTCTCAACCATATTAATATTAAATGAACGCTCTATTGAGCAGTAGGAAAACAGGAGTCTCTTTATTTTGACGCCCTTATGTACTACTCTGCCACCATTCCTGTTTTGTGGTCTTTTAACCACCAGACCACATCTTCTACTAGGCCCAGAAGACCAGCTTAGAGACTTCAAGAAAGATGCATTCATTTTTCCTATTTCTATGAGTCACATGTGGAAGTCAGAGGAATTAGAAAGTTTGGGTTTCACTTCATCACAGTTTCTTCAATGAAGCTGTTTTCATTCTGTCTGCTTTTGGTAGGTTTATGCTACAGATTTTACTGAGTGACAGTTTCAAACCTCAGCTGGCGGTATTCACGGCTATGCTACCTCATTGCCAACGAAACAAAATGTAGCACTGACAGATTGCTTTAACTATTCTGTCCAAAACAAAAAGGGAGTCCTACCTATTGTTGAGGAGAAACTGTTTTTAAGATCCTTTAATTCTTACATCGGTGAACAATTAACCAAGCCATCCAGCTAACGCTGCCATGCCCACTTTAATTTGTTTGTATAAACATGACCACTGTATAAAATTAACAGAGAGACCAGCTCAGTCCTAGGTAGAATGAATCATGGAAAAACAAAGTGCTTGGGCTGTCTGTATTTTCATTCTGCTTTAGTAAATCTTCTTTGAAAGGCTTGGGAAAGTGGCAAGATCTCAGACAACGTCTAAAAATGACAGCCATCCAAAATACTTGCCAGATGCAAATGGATTTCACCCATTATTTACATATGAGGGAGATGTTTTCCTGTGACCCATCTCCTCATCTCTAGACTCCAATCACAGTTACATTACAGGCAAAGTCACCTTCTAGACCTGATTTTCCATTACGACATTTCTCTTTGTTTGTTTTTCATATGTTAGGTATATCATTTCTGAAGTTAGGATTTTTCAGATATTTACACAATAGTTTCCATTGGTACCTTTGTAACCTAAAATGAGGATGGTCTTCTGGCCAGTAATATCAGGGAGGGGAGATCAAGACCATTCTCTGGACCATTGAGGAAGGAGAAATGCAATGAAGAATATTGAGACAATGTTGTAATTAACCATCCCATCCCAGAGCCAAAAATCACAGTATTAGACAGTTACAACCAGATTGGTAACGTTGAGTCTTCTGACCTCCTCTCTCCAATGTCTGCCTCATCACCGCGCTAAAAGACAGTAGTAACTTATTCTGAACCAAATCTTCAGTCCTTTCGTCCTCGGAGAAGCCTCAGCTAGGTAGGATCAGCATGAAAGATGAGGAAAAATGAAAGATCCTCTCTAATCCGAATCGTTTGAATCCTTCCCACCTACAGGTGAACAAGGATATTGTGTCAGGACTGAAATATGTTCAACACACCTACCGGACTGGGGTGAAAGGTAAAGTATCCACACTTTCCACTGTCCCAAACTCTGCTTCTCACTGACACTTAAACTTCATGTTATTAGCAATTTTTAGCCCTAAACTTATTTAAGAATCTGATGACAGCTGTGGACACTCACCCTATGAGAGGCACACATACACTTCTGACAAGTTCTATATTCTGGCAAGTTCTATATTCAGGAAACTTAGTTAAGACTGGGTCAGCCACTAACCTTCAACATTCAGCTTCTGGAATTCAACTTTATTACTTATAAAGGGGAAGAGTAACCAAGATAAGTTTGAATCAAAGTACATAAATGTAGTCTTAAAATTAAAAACAAACAAAAAAAAGCAGTTCACAAGTATAAAACCTGGGTGTCAGAGAAATCCGAGATAGGAAAGACCTATCCAATGGGAGGTGGTAGCAGCATACGGGGAGCAGGTGGCAGGGCAGAGAGTTAGGGACAGTGCTCAGTTTCATAAACAAAGAAACAGAAAAAAGTACTCTTTCTAGAGTTGAGAAAAGCTTTGTAATTGAAACAAATAATATCACATTACTTAACGTGTGGTTTTCTCGACAAGTTGTACCTAAGCAGTACCTGAAAGAAATAGAAAAAAGTACTCTTTCTAGAATTGAGAAAAGCTTTGTAACTGAAACAAATAATATCACATTACTTAACGTGCAGTTTTCTCGACAAGTTGTACCTAAGCGGTACATGCCGTGGGAACCTGTCTTCAGTTGTCTTCCATTAATATGGGCAGGGAGAAGTGAAAGGTGGAAGGCTGATGGAAGCACTTATAAAGTTCCCTTTTACCTGAAGGTGTGAAACAGCATCCCCTGGAAGTGTGAAACAATAATGTGTAGGTCAGTTCCTCCAAATCAATCAATGAGGGCTAGGGAAGGCACTGATCAATTTGCATGACATAGAGAACCACTCAGTGACTCAAATGCCACAGAAGATTGTTAACAGGAAAGATCTTGGTTGATCTCTCCAATACCTAGCCTCATGAAAATATAGTTCAGTTTATTATTTTCCTTTGGGCATAAAGACTGTGGTGCTTCACTCAGGCAAGAGGTCGATGGGGTGTCTCTAGCGGTTCCTCCAAGCTTATTCAAAGAGGGAAGAGATATGGGAACATATATATATGTATAACTGACTCACTCTGTTATAAAGCAGAAACTAACACACCATTGTAAAGCAATTATACCCCAATAAAGATGTTAAAAAAAAAAAAAACAACAACAACAGCCAACTAAATGTCACCTGCCTGCCTACCTACCTTTACTTATACTTTCTAATCCCTACTATTCTTAATATATATCCCAGTTACCTATTAATAACTTAGGTTGGCTATTTTTACCATCTGTCCGAGTTCATCACTACTTTTTGTTTTTACCAAATTATTGGGTTTTCCTTTTCATTTAATTATTCCATCCATGAATTCTGATCATTCTGGTCCCCAGCTGTTACCTTATCTCCTCCAACTGTTCATAGAATGATAGTTTGTATACAGAAGACCCTTGAAGTTCATTATATAGAAAAGAAAGAGAGGCTCCAAAGTGTTAGGTAGTTGCAGAGCTGAAGCCAGAACTCAGGTCTCAACTAGTTTGAGATATATTTTTATGGAGATGGTATTGACATATAACATTGTATCATTTTGAGGCTTATAGTGTAATGATCTGATATATGTATATATTGTAAAATGATTACCAAAAGTTTAGTTAATACCCATCACCACACATAGTTACAATGCTTTTTTCTTGTGTTGAGAACTTTTAATATCAACTCTCTCAGCAACTTCCAAATATACACTAGAGTACTGTTAACGATGGTCACCATGCTGTGCATTCCATCCCCAGGACTTACTTATCTTATAACTGGAAGTTTGTACCTTTTGAACACCTGGGATTTTTTTTATGGTATAATCTGCTACATCTCCATAAAAAGAGTCTACATCCCCATGGATTTAGGGCACTGATTCCCCACCTTCCTGAATCTCAAAATCAGCTGTAATGTGTTTTAAAGACACTGATTCTTGGGACCCACAGCAGATCACTAACCTTTGGGAGTGGGTCAAAGAATAGTGCATTATTAAAAAGAACTCCAACTTAAAAAAAAAAATGTTTTTAAGAGAAAAGAAAATTTGCCCCAGGTAAATCTGGTGTTTAGCCAGGATTGGAAACCATTGCTCTTGGCTTTGATCACAGTGAGCTGTGCTCCAAATTCTTCAGTGTGCAGTGTTTGTTTTCCCTCTGCCAGGCTTTCACCCTAATGAACTTTTCTTTCTTCCCAGTGGATAAAGCAACATTCATGGTTGGCAGCTACGGGCCTCGGCCAGAGGAGTATGAGTTTCTGACTCCAGCTGAGGAGGCCCCCAAGGGCATGCTGGCTCGAGGCACTTATCACAACAAATCTTTCTTCACGGACGATGACAAGCACGACCACCTTACCTGGGAGTGGAGCCTGTCCATCAAGAAGGACTGGACAGAATAAGCGCCTCTGCCCATCCCTTTCCCTA